GTTTTACGCCGGTCGGCGTAGGAATACACGATCGCTTATGACATCATCAATCCGTATTCTGGACCGCGGTCACGCCCCATCCTCCGCACTTGCACTCCTTAGAGCTTTTTAACTCTTTTTTTCCTCCCCCGTGATTATGTAAATAGTTGTTATGTTCGCTGTCGTTATCGCATGATAAAAATTCCGCGGTCGCGAAGAAGCTACCACTGAATTTAGCTTCGCAAACTTCGATTTCGAATGTCACGCGGGCATGCATTGTGCAGCCAATCGCGCCTCAGCATCAAAATACTCGCAGAGGAATTCAAATAGTCGAGAACGCGACTGTGCTCTTAGTCTGTAATTTTTCAAATTTTATTTCACGTTCGACCTTCGAATTATTATCACAAAAATTTCAATTGGTAAAATACATCTTACGTATTCTATATAATTTTTTTTTTTTTTCGTTTGCACTTCTCTTTTATAGGATGTAATAACAAACGCACCATAAAAAAAGAAAGAAATCGCAGTGATCGACTTAATAAATTTCCTGCGAAAAGTAGTTTTACTATTAATTTTTAATATGACTGCAGAGTGGATAATTTTTGAGTTTTGCGTAACAATACATATATTGGAATTTCATGTATGCGAAATTCATATATATAAAATGCGTACATTCGATATATACAATCTTAAACTTATGTATCATAAAACTTATGTGACTTATGTGTAATCTTGCAACTCCGCCTTTATCCCTTGCGGTCTTGACAAGAGTAATGCACTATATCACCATTGGGATATCTCGCAAAAGCGCTAAGGAAACAGGACTGATTAGTATTAATATAAATGATTTATGTCAATTTATGAGACCCTTATTCTATAATTCTTTAACATTATTGCAGTATCAATATGCATGTTTTATATATGGTAAAAAAACTATGCAATAATAATATAACGATACAGACGTCGTCGTTAAAAATTACAGAATAGGAGCCTTTTAAATATAAAACACGTGCGATAAATACTTTAAATACTTTAAATAATAAGACACATATACGAACCTTTGGTTACCAAATCGTTTTTTACAAACTGGACATATATTAAATTCTGTCATGAGGACACTCTGTGATTCGTAATGCATTCGTTGCTCCTGCACTTGTAAATGTTCCGCGTAAAGCAGCCCTTTGAGAACCTGTGTTCTTCGCCTTGCGTTCAAGTTATTCTGTAAGCTAACTTCCAGGAAATGTTTTATTCTACCAATAGGAACGGAATCCGGTAGCACCTCCAAGACTTTCATAGGATTTATCTTTGACGCGTGCTCCTCTAACAGTCGAAGGGCCATTTCTAAATCTGGCTGTGTCGTTCTTTGAATTTCCGGATTACAACCTTAAAGAGTAAAAATAATTATATATACATAATATTGTATTAAACAAATTTTGTCAATACTTACCAGCCATTAAAACTCCTTCGTTGTCGGGTTTCAATAACTGCTGAATTAGCAAAACGTATACTTCGTCAGCATTATCCGTCTGCTTTGGTTTCTCCAATGTACGATCTTGATCTTAAAGTATATAATATGCAAATAATTATGTATTATCTTTATTCGATTAATAATACTAAATATTTCAAAATCCACTTACTTTGATACCTTGTATATACATTTTGGCAATATTGTATTGCGCGTGGTATATCATTTAAAAGGCTAATATATATCGATATGGCTTGCTGATGACGACCGAGTCGTCCAAGTATAATTGCACGTTCTTCGAACAAACTGTCAAATGGAAAATGCACTAATATTGTTTCCGGTGTATAATGCGTCGATTTCTCTAGAAATTGTTGTAATTTCTGTCGAATGTGTTGCGAAATTTCTTTCTCCGCTGGCGTTGCATTTGCATTCATAGAAGCTAGACACTTTTCTTTGTACTGATGTATCAAAACATTATGGAATAACGGATTGGTGTCTTCCCAAACATGTACTACATGTTCCAAGTATTGTATCACTAAGTCTTTGTGAAAACGTAGAAGGTAATCCAATATCTTTGGTCTAGGTAAATGTTCAACTTCCTACAAACGCAACAAAAAATGCATAAATAAGGAAAATATTAAATGTGGAAATAAAACAAAAAAATACCTGTATATCTTCCATAAATATTCTAAGGCCTTGTTCAGGATCCTCCGTTAAAACCCATCCGGCAAACTTTAGTATTAGATCCATGTGATCCTTGCCGAGATGTTGCAAATACTGTATAGTTCTTTCAGTGCCTTTCAGACTAGAATCGTTTTCCTTTGCGTGTTTTTCTAGTAGCTCCAACGCTTTCTTGTGTTGTCCTTTGGTTTGATACAATATAATAAGCTCCGGATATTTCTGATGAATCAATAAAGTTTTCTCAGCTTCTGCCAAATGACAGTGATTCAGTCTAAGTAAAGGAGCTACCAAGGCGTCAGTGGTCTAAAACAAATTCCGTTCAATGTTTATTCCGTGTAAACAGCAAGAAATTTCTTCCACGCATAGATTTTTATTATCCTTCTTCTCTTTTACCTGCAAATAACATTTTAAAAGGGTCGTATCTATAATCTTTAGAAGCTGCTCCGTAGCTACAGCGGTTAAATTCTTTTCTCCATTTACTCCATTTTTTTCCTTACTAAGTTCTTTGTCCTTCGCCATTAGCTTATGCCTGACTTCAGTTAGAAAAACTATTAATGCACGTAAGCCCTTTTCTAAATCATGATCTTGTAGCTTTGGCAAACTGGGTGCTGGTTCATTGAGTTCATGAGTATTGGTCGAAGGTGTAACTAAATCTGGAAACAATCTTATCACCTCATATGGATCAGTTCCCAATTTCAAGAATAGATCCATTGCCTCTTGGAACCGTTTATTGTAGAACAGATGATGCGCGTACAATGTTTGTATTTTATACGTCTGTTTGACTTTTTCTTCATCTGTTATGTCTGATAAATTCTAAAATACATGTGAATAATATTGCATATATAAAAAATGAATAATTTATACATTAACATTAGATATAAGTAACGTACAGTTAATTTTAATGCCAGCTGAAACTGATTTTGCTCCAGCAAAGTCCTAATTTGTAAAGTAACATCAATTGCATTAATACACCAAATTTGACTAATGGATGCCACAAAGACTCTCCCTTGCTTGCATCGATATATAAGTCTAGCTTTATTTAAATCCTTTATTGTCTGAATATGTAGACATCCTTCCAATGTATACACTTCCAATCTGTCGTGCACGATACCAAGTAAGTAAGGATCATCCCATGCTAAAATGTTACAAACAAATTTGATTAATTATAATTAAAGAGAGAAATAATAACGATAGTCTATTCTCTATACCTATTGCATTAGGCGTATCTGACCATTTTACTGGATTGTGTTGAACCAATTCTCCTTTTGTATCCATGATAAATGATTGAGAATCTTTGCCCAGGACAAAAGAACTATCTGATAGTTTCGTAATACTTGGTTCTGGAGATTTACCAGTGGGAAAGAGCTCCTTAGGTTTATCGTTTAGGTCGAAAATCGTATAGGACAATCCACGAAATCCTAATATCAATGTTTCGCCGCACCTCAATAATTAATACAAATTAATCAAAATAGAGGCATATGCTGTAGCACTTCAATAATTGTTCAGCATGTGTTACCATGACAATTGACGAGGTATATCTGGCACTGTTAACTCAAAATCTTTAAATTCTTCAAACTTCTTTCCCTTCCAATAATACAGCTGTAATTTACGTTTGACAGCGACACATAAACGCACCACAGTGTTCTTTTCTCCTGTTAGGCTTTCGGTTGATTGAATCTCCAGAGTAAACAAAGTGGCGCCGCGAGTCTTTGGTAATTGACATATTTGTTGAAAGTTTGGTGAATTTAAATCATGAATGCATACAATGTTATCTAAAATTTTTCTCAATTAAACTGAGAGACAGAGATAATAATTATCAATTAATTCATGACATCAAGTATACCTGTTAGGATGATCAATAAATTATACTCCGGCACAACATCTATCTGATTGATGCGTTTTTTGTTAAAATTTTTGCTGTGACGTAACAATTCTAGTTTGTGACTGTCGTCAAACACCACTGGAACATTGTACATAAGAAGATGGCCTTCCCTGGTGCCTATTAGTAAGTTGTCATCTAAAACAATTAAAAATTCAATAAATACTCTGTCTATTCACAAGAATTCTCCTGATAATCGCACTACATAATCAACCAAAATTCATCTCTTACCGTAAGCAGCCATAGACTCAATTTGCACAGTGATATTTAATATAGACGTTTCTTCGTAAGCGTCGTGCATCGTTGCGGTTTTAAAAAAAATATCACACTTTATCAAATGAATTTTTCAAACTGTTGACGATACTCAAGTTGTTGGTCGACAAAGCATCAGAGTGCATTCTATTGCATTCTCCCACATTCTAAACGATTTTTGACTGGCGTTTGACAACCATCGCACAACAATCGCAAAATCGTAGCTGAGAACAGACCTTTAATAGTTTTGAGGATTCAGCTTAACATCGCTCGTCCAATCAGCGTCCCGCGGTCTTGCGTGACTTTTGAACGTCACATTTGTATACAAAACTTTCTATTATTTTCCTCTTTTTTTTATTATTCCGACCTCCTCACAAAAGAGCTGCGTTTCGTAATTCACTGTAAATCTTTTTTGCAAGTTTTTTTTATACCATAATACATATTTACATCATAGGTCTGTCGCGTTGCTTGCACCTTTTACACTCAGTATCTTCGCTTTCTCTCTTTTCAACGACCAAATATATATCTATATTTTATTTTAAGTTCAAAAATTTTTGGGGATTTCAAATGATTTCAAACAACGCAATAGACCTCATGAGCTACGTTCGGAAATGTTAGCCAAGTGTCGTTATGTATTATCTTATCCTTGTTTAACATTAAGTAAACAACAAGGATAAAATGATACACGGATGTAATCGAGTAACGTTTCCGAATGCAGACGGTTTGATAATTCAAAGATTGTATATGTAGTAGACAGGTGTGGTCATGTGGTAAGAGTTGTAGTTGTATGGGAAGCAGAAAATAGTATTGCGTAAAAAATGATGAGGCGTGTTGCTGTGGTACGTAACTGCACAAAGATTATAAAATGTAATAATAAAGAATCTTTGTATTTCCTATCGTTGATTATCTTTTCCAGATTGACATATAGTTTTTTTCTTTTTATAGCTGTGACTTATTATACTTTTACAATTATTAAAGTGAAATATATTAAAGTACATAATTATATAACAAATCTGATTAAATGGAGAAAGAAAAAGATAAGAATACACGAGAAATTTAACTATTACAAATAGCAGTTGTAATTTTTATTATTTGTAGTTGAATTGTCTGTACTTTTTAGTCTTTCTCTTTTTTCTTTCTTATTTATATCTGTACAGTGCTGGGATTTACTTGCACATTTCGGCCGATTTTCAACCTTTTCTGATTCCTGCCCCTTACTTCACCAACCCGCGCACAGCCTAAATGTCAATCGGTGCGCGGATTGGTGAAGAGGTAGGAATCAAGTTAAAAATCAGCCGAAATGTGCAAGTATAATCTCAGCATTGGTCTATGTGTATAATTTTAAACATAGCTAAAATATAGCCTGTGGAAAAAAATGTTATATATGAATATATTTTATATATAATTATATATTATATAATTTTATATAAATATGTTAATGTTTTATATAATTATATATGAAACATTTTTTCTCCCGGGAGTTTAACATAATTTTTATTCTTTAGACTTCGTACTCTATTTTTCCTTTTTTTTTTTCTTTCCAGTAACTAATTATAAGAAAATAATTATAAAATAATTTTTAATATTATACATGGATATATTAGGCTTTTTCTGTATAATTTTTACAATTTTTTATATAACTTATGTTATTTAACAAATATATATATAACACAAATAAAAATACCATGAAATATTGATAACCCATGGCACGTGATGGTCAAGTCCCTTGAAATTGACCTACCACAGAATGTGTTTATTTTAAACATATAAGTATAAAAATATGTAAAGCATAGATTTAGAAATCTTAATAAATAATACTGTCATTCAGGTAACTGGTGGAAACAAGGGTATCGGCTTTGCCATTGTCAAAGCCCTCTGTCAACAATACGATGGAAATGTTTATTTGACGGCTCGCGATACCGCTCGCGGCTTGAATGCCGTCAGTGAATTGAAAAAGCAAGGTTTGAATCCGAAGTTCCATCAATTGGATATCAATGATGACAACAGTGTTAATACATTCCGGGATTATTTGCAGAATACGTATGGTGGCCTCGACGTGCTGGTTAACAATGCTGCCATAATATTTCACGTAATTAAAGATATATTGCTATAGTAATTAGTTAATAATTAAAGACATATTATTAATATAGTAAACGCAGTATACGACAAATACATATTTCTAATTATTTATTTTTCAAAACGTGATTATTTCTAAAAAGAATGACTTGATTTTAAACAGAGAAAAAATATATTGCTTCCCTATTCATATTTGGATATAAATTGAATAATAACTGAACGATTTTGTAAAAATAAAATATCGAGATGATATATTGAAATTTACTTATTACAGAGCGATGCTACGGAGCCTTTTGGGTTCCAAGCGGAAGAAACTATACGAGTAAACTACTTCAGCTTGCGTAGAATGTGTACTGCTCTCTATCCATTACTCAGACCACACGCTCGGGTGGTTCATGTCTCGAGCAGTCTTGGATGTCTATCACAAATTACTGGTGATGACTTAAAAAAGAAATTAACCAATCCAAATTTGACTGAAACAGAATTGGATAAAATCATGCACGAATTCGTCGAGTAAGATTCAACATTTTTTAAAAAACAATTGCATTGATTATATGTTAATTTGGAAAGGTTTTTCGAGATTTATATTCTTATATGTAGATTTATTTCCAGTGCTGCAAAATCTGGTACGCATTTACAAGTCGGATGGTCAGATTCAGCATATGTGGCGAGTAAAATAGGCGTTAGCGCCTTAGCCGGTATTCACCAATCCATGTTCAATGCGGATCTCCAAGAAGACATTGTGGTGAATGCTGTACATCCTGGTTACGTAGATACTGATGGTACTTTGCATAAGGGAATTTTGACACCAGATCAAGGGGCTGTAGCTCCTGTTTACTGCGCATTGTTGCCGAAAAATACAGAGATAAAAGGAAAATTTATCTGGTACGATAAGACATTAGCAGATTGGAAGTAAGCATATGTAACAGATGGTAAACGGGTTTGTACCACTCCTACAATGCATAACATGTTCAAATATATAAGTAAACAAATACGTGAATGTTAAATAAATTATATCTATAACATATTTAATAAAAAAATAGAGTAAAGCTAGAAACATATAAAAAATCGTAAATAAACAATAAGCGAATCGGCCAATCACAGTAGAGAACGTAAAGTAAGCTGTTTCGCTCACAGTAAGTATATCTTACTGCCTTATGTTTTTTTATATGTTTCTGGCTTAAGGATAACAAAGACCTCACAAAAAATACAGAAACTATTTTGTTACAAATGTCTTTTATATTAAAACAACCGAATAAAAATATATACTGAAGAATGTTACATTATTACCCACGTTTTCAAAAAAAATTTGTGAATAATGCAAAACGATTCCATATATTATTTCTATACTAAATATGAAATATATGTAGTAATTAAAGAGAAGAAATGGATTCTTAATGTAAGCAATATATTTAGTGAAATTATGAGCTATCTTGCTTGAGCATTCATTGCTTCCCTTCTTGCCGCTTCAGTTAAAAGATGGATGTCTACTTCATCTACTGGAAGTTGTACGTATCGTACCACAGATCCACGGATAAAGCAATTTTTTACCGATAACTGCAATTTAATATACAATTCGTTAATTATATTTAATTGCACATTAATTTTAATTACATTGTGTGTCCATCATTGATGATTCAATTTGCATAATCCCTCTATTCATATGAAAAAAAGAGGTTTTCGTCAAATTGATAAACTGTGATATTTTGTAGCTTATGAGATGTCGATCAAAAGTTTCCACAGGTACAAAGTCTTCTATATTTTAAAAAATGGACAAATTTATTGTAGCATCATTTGAAAATTGCTATGTTGAGCCTAATTGTATTAAAAGTATTTACTTTTATCTACAGTACAGTTTGTTTTTTAACTGTATAAGCAATTAAAAACACTTATATAACCACATATGTATCCATTATCGAGATTCGTATCTCAATGCAAAGAAAAAGATAGTATGCTTGTAAATATGTATATTGGTATGTATGTATCTGTGTCGGTAGCTATTACATTAGTATATCTGACATTTTTATGTATAATTATATATAAATGTCTACACAGTTGAAAAAACTATACTATAGATATAAGTACTTTTCAATTTGTTTAGATTTAAAGCAGCAATTTTCAGAAATGTGTCCATTTTTTAAACATGGTTGTGCTTTATGAAGACTTTTGAGCAGACTCTCATAAGCTATAAAAGATGCCTTCCATTATTCATTGCCAATATTAAATATCTATAGTATACGTACATAACATGAAATACAGATTTTCAGTGCTCAGAGTGAATAACCAAAATATCACAGTTTGAGCTAATTTAATTAAAATTCTTTTCTAAAAACAATTAATACAAAATCCTTTATATGATAATATCAATGGTAATTAACGTACCATGTGAGGATACTTCTCTGAATCTGTTACGCTAATGTCAGCTAATTTTATGTTTAGATACTGATCGACAGAATATAATGTGCCGCAGATACTAAAACAAAATATCACATTGTACAATGTGTGTGATAGTCAGTCACACTACATTGAATTAGTACATATTAAAGGCTGTTTTAAATAAAGTATCTAAATGCAGTGACATAATAAATTCGACTTTGACAGTAAAATAATACAAGTATATTCTGTTAAATAACGTAATATTATCTAATCATTTAAAACATTTATATACTTTTACATTTAACTTTATTAACTTCATGTATAGTAGCTTTTAATATGCACTAATCTAATGTAAGGCGGAATTCGCTCACAATCAGTGTTGCTCAAAAAACATAATCATGTGATGACGTCTCACCTGAGGTCATTTTTCAATTCGACCACTACGTCCTTTCCAATCAAGGATTTGAAGAAGGAATAAAACAGCTGAAATTAAAAACACGCTCAGTTGAAATTGATACACGTCCGGGTGTTCGCATCCATGAAAAGCCGGATTCTACATGTCACCTTATTGTAAAAATCTTTACGTTAAGACTTACCATGATAATTTACGAAAGATCACTGTGATTATATATTCAGTATTGCATACGCTGGTTTACAAGTATTTATAATGATAAATGCGTTCCAAACAAATCTCGGCGGTAAAATTATAACCTATATCACGAAGCATCAATATGAATGAGCAATGCATGAAATAGAATATACATAGAATGGAAACTTTTGAACAATTCGCATAAATATTCAATGTTATTTGTAACTGCACGATGTGTACCTTCTGCACTTAAAATAATATTAAAGAGAAAAAATTGAAAATACAAAAAATTCAGTCATAGAAAAAACAAAGCTCGAAGTAAGGGTATATCCACACAAACTTGCATAGCCGCATAAACATATACATAAAGAAGATTATCCAATTGCAGTTCTCTTTTAAAGTCGTACATAAAATGTGATTGGATAATTTTCTTTATGCATACGTTTATGCGGCTATGCAAGTTTGTCTGGATATACCTTAAATTGTGATATGTATTCAACCTTGTTCATACGGATTCAGGCCGCCGTTCCATGAGCGGAAGTTTAAAGCGGAGCGTGACCAATCACAACTCTGCAGTCATTACTCAGCTTTCCTTTCTGCGATTGTGATTGGTCTCGCTGTTCCGTTCTGCTGTAAATTTCCGTTCATGGAACGGCGACCTAACATATGATTTTGTATATGCTGTATTTTTATATAATATATATAACAGAAAAAATCCATGGTAAAGTGACTCTAAACTTGAGTCGGAAAACCAATCAAGGGGAAATCAAAAAACAAAAAAAAATCAATTATTCATACAACAAAAGCTTAGCAATGACTTTAATCTTGATACATAATTTTGTCAAATAGGTTCCATACAAGAATTACGCAGGCTGTTTGAATAAAGCTTAATTGTCAAAGCATTCACGAAGAAAAATGAAGTTTTTATTAACGTTGTTACATGTTTAAATATTTGTAGATCTATAAATAGATATTAAATGAAGCAAACGCAATTTTTTGAGATAAATATTTAATATGATCTCTTAATGTGCAATAATATACAACAATATACCACCATGTGCTATGATCGATGCCCTTACCAATTGGTGCTTCTGCTATAACTGGCAGGACTTTGGACTTGATCGTCACTGATTAGGAAGCGGTATTTTTTACAGCTAAATATTGAAGACGAGAGTAAAGAATCCAAAGTTCTGCAACAATGTTTTCCACCTGCGTCAAGACGTTACGGACTACTAGCAAAGTAAAATTCTTCTCGAATTCGTCTCGATTTTCATCTTTCATTTGTTTCGTTGATTCTATCCATGATTCATATATAAGTACATTGCGTTCCATTGACTTTGACTTTAAAATTCGTTATTACAAACGTTCTTATTTTTGTGAAAAGCACGAAATACTGATAAGTCACTGTTTATAATTGTTAATTACTTCAAATAACTGTATCTTATGATAAATATAGTCATAGTTCAGTGAATTAGTATATATTGAAGGTTGCTTTATATAAAGTATCTAAATAAATTGTGACATAACGTGCTCAATTTTGACAATGAAATCATACGTGTATATTCTTTCTAAATAATGTGACAATATTATTGTTGGTATTTAATCATTTAAAATATGTATACATTTGCTTTTTGCTAATTTTGTGTGCGGTAGTTTCCAGTATGCACTAATTTAGTGCAACATAAGTGTCTGAATTTGTCATTAAACATAGATTTGTAGTTGTTTTCTAATTATTTGTGAAATTAAATTTAAACATCTCATAAATGTGTCACTTATTTTCAGTTTGCCTCATTGGTGCGTTACGAATCTACTTTGGTGATTGCAGAGCATAACAATGAAAATCTATTGCCACTCACCTGCAACACATTGACAGCTGCCAAGAAGATCGGCGGCGATATCACTGTACTGGTGGCTGGTACTAAATGCCAAGCAGTTGCACAGAATGCGTGCAAAGCCAAAGGCGTGTCTAAGGTCTTCCTCGCAGACAGCGATGCGTTTAAGGGATTTACTGCAGAATCGTTGACGCCACTTATACTTAAGCTGTGCAACGAACACAAATTTACACATATATTAGCTGGTGCAAGTGCATTTGGCAAGGCATTACTTCCCCGAGTTAGTTTACAATTTATTCTCTTCTAAGAAATTATACCAACTGTGTCAATTTTACGTTAATTCATATAAATCTATTTAATTGAAGATTGCAGCCAAGTTAGATGTATCGCCAATAAGCGATATTATCAACATAAAAGCTTCGGATACCTTTGTACGTACAATATACGCTGGTAATGCCATTCAAACTCTTAAGTCTAAGGACAATGTAAAGATAATATCCATAAGAGGTACTTCTTTCGAGTTGCTACCTTTAGAAGGTGGAGACGCTAAGTGTGAAACTGTCCCTACTGACGATTATACTTCAAATCAAGTGCAATACGTCAAACAAGAGCTCAGCAAATCCGACAGGCCAGAATTAACATCTGCCAAAGTTGTGATTTCCGGCGGACGTGGAATGAAGTCCGGAGAAAACTTTCAATTGTTGTATACATTGGCAGACAAGCTCAATGCGGCGGTTGGAGCATCCCGTGCCGCGGTCGATGCTGGTTTTGTGCCAAACGATATGCAAATAGGGCAAACTGGGAAAATTGTTGCACCTGTAAGTAAAAAATTAATTACTAGAATATACTTTATTGGAATAACTCTCGTCTTAATCTTGTCTTAAACACCAATAACTTTATGATTGTGATTTTAGAATCTCTACATAGCAATTGGAATTTCGGGAGCAATTCAGCATCTTGCTGGAATGAAGGACTCTAAGACGATTGTAGCTATTAACAAGGACCCGGAAGCTCCCATTTTTCAAGTAGCAGATTATGGATTGGTCGCAGACTTATTTAAGGCTGTTCCTGAATTAACGGAGAAATTATAAATTGCAAACAGGGCTTATATAAATTATATTTCAAATAATTATTTTTATATATTTTATTATATTGTATTATAATACAGGAATTTTAGAATAAAATTTTTATGATGGTTTTTAACAAAAATTAATTTATTATTCTAATGGTTACAATCTGTTTACATAATGTCAATAAAAATAAGTTAAGTAAAGTGTATTTTTTAATAATAAAAACTTCAAAAATTAATAAGGCAAAGAGGGAAGCCTAATATGTACTAATATTACATACATTATATTGTATATATATATATGTATACATATATATTATAATTACATATTTACGTATAATATATTAGTAATTACTTTCTTTTTATACAACAAATAAAATGGAAAATAACTTGAACAGAACGTTTAGCATTGGACGCTGATAACACATCTATTAATTAAGATAGACTGTGACTTAAAATATATTGATTTTTGACCATTTTGGCAAGTGTAAAAAGTGCATTTTTTCCATATCTACTATTTTTTTTGTGCCAATGCATCAGTAATACTATTACTTTTGTTTTCATGTCTTCTTCTAAATTCATAGTCGTAGTAAGACATTCACAGCATTTGAAAGCGAGTGTGGCAAAGTAGATAGCGCACTGATCTGTTATGCCAGAGATCCCGGGTTTGATTCTCGGTAAAATCAAAGTATTTTCATACACTCGTTCTCCTCTCGGAAGGAAGCGGCAACCCACGGAGAGTATCCTGCCAAGAACACTTCTCCGAACAAAAACTTCGTCGTTCGAAATGGACCTTAAACTATAAGATCCCATATAAACTGTGTACGTTCCACAGGCATATGAGAAAAGTCACCACGCTCGGAATTAATACATATATATATCTCATATTATGGATTCCACAGATATGATTCCCGTTTTAACAGAGAATATATTCAAAACTTATTAGAAACAAAAGAAGAAAAAAAGAGAACAAGCAAATGGGTGTACCCATGAAAGAGAAGAAGTCGAAATGTGCCTTGTATTTCATAGGTACGCCCGTTTGCTCGTTCTTTTTTTTATATATATATATATATATATTAATTCCGAGCGTGATGACTTCTTTAATATGGAGTATCAGGTTGCTCCTTGCCCTGATGAAGCGAATCCTGCAAGGTTCGTGAAACGTTGGCATTTCAAGAATGGATCTAGACACGGGGAAAACCCGCAAAACACATAATCTTTATAGAAAGCACCCATGGAAGCCTCAAGAATATTATTTAAAATAACCCTGAAAGAGTAAAGCCTGCGCAGACAGATTTTGAACAGAGCCTGTTACCAATTTTTAATTGCAAAAAGGCATCAAATTGTATATAGAATTTATCTGATATTGTCAGCACATTGCTGCCAGAAATATAACAAAACCTGTTTATAGAAACCGAGCAAAGTCTTGCATAACCTGACGGCAGATTGAGAACAGATTGAGAACAGAATCTGATTCAAGCAGACTGCTCGATTTCTGCCACCAATCTCCTGGCATAGCCTGTCAACAGTGTCAACAGGCTTTGTCGACAAATCCATAGTCAAATGCGGACACAGATGACTGGTAGTCAAAATCCGATGAAGTTTGCTGCCAATTTGGCCCCAAATTGCTAACATTTTGCTATCAGGGAAGTTTTTATAAATATTTAAAAATATTTTATAAATATTGTATAATTGTCTGGGTATAGTGCGATTTAGGAAACGGATTTCATTCTTGTAAAAATCGTAATTGCATACTGAAAGTATTCTCATTTTAACTCTCCACCACTTTGTGTCTTTTTAATTAAAGCACAATCAATATCATATGTTTTTTCAAAATTCTAAGTCCGGCATCCACGTGACGTAATGAGTTGTGGATACCAGCGACACCCAACGTTAAACGATGTGGAATGGGTTTGAATCGGTTATTACATGCGTGCTAAAATCAATTATTATTACGAAATAAAGTGTAATTAAATACGAAACTAATATACGTTAAATACATTTGCAAAGTGATCATTTCTTTCTTGCAAGAGTATTTGCTTACAGTAAGTACGTGTCTATCGTTCTACTTAATAAACACTGTTACAGGTTATGTTATACATATCTCTGTAAAAAAACCGTTTTACGAAACTCAAATTATTTACCATAATTTTACAACATGCTTTTTGTTTCTTGTTTCTTGCTGTTTATCTCTTGCCTTTTTGATCAAGAAAGCAAGAGACAGACAGCAAGAAACAGGAAACAAAAAGCACATTGTAGAATTAGCCTTATTGTTACTGGATGTAAATCTCATTTATCTGGAGACACTGGTAGTGTCTCGGCGTTAAGCCAAAGCAAAGCGACACTGCCGTGGCCTCCTTTACGCGAACCGAAGAGTTTCAAAAATACATAAATTGGAATGTTATATTTTCGAAGTATTAAGTAAAATATAATATTTTTATTATTCTCTCTCTCTCTCTCTCTCTCTCTCTCTCTCTCTCTCTCCAATTTTAATTTATAGAATGTGGCAAATTTTTATATTTATAGAATATGCAGAGTATTCGCCAGTGTGTTAAACAATTAGCATCATATAGCAAATCTGCTATAAACAAGACGAGTATACTATCAAGTGCAACAAATTTTGCACAAACGCCAACATGCAATGTGCATATTTCTGCAATCTGTTGCAGAACTGATTTGAGTAAATACGAAACTCCGACAAGGTTTTTAGATAATAACAAAACTGTATTTCCACCTCAAAAACCAGATGAAGAGAGAAGACCTGCTGTAAGTTATATTGTGTATGTGTACTAAATATTGGTTATTATTAAGTTATTAATCATTTCGCTTGTACATTGTTTTTTAGTATGTATGTCATATGAAAGCCAATATAAAGTACAGTCCGAAGAAAATGTGGTACGTCGCAGGCTTTGTACGAGGAATGACCGTGGACGAAGCCGTAAAACAATTGAGTTTTATGTATAAGAAAGGCGCTGAGATTGCAAAGGAAGTTATACTAGAAGCTCAACGTTTGGCTGTAGAGGAACACAACGTTGAATTTAAAAGTAATTTGTGGGTCGGTGAGTATATGAATAAACCAATACTTGAGATTTCTGTTTTGCGTATTCTTATGTACTAAACCTTTTAATCATTCGATTAATATCAAGGAAATAATTATTTCTTGTGCAGCGGAATCATTCAGTACCAAAGGTATTGTAATAAAGGGTATACGACGACATGCTAGGGCACGCAAAGGAATTGTGCATTACAGATATTGCCACTATTTTGTACGCTTGGAAGAAGGAGCGCCACCTAAGCACTATTATCAGACACATCCTAAAACTGGCGAGGAATTGTTAAACAATTGGATGAAGCAGCTGCATATGCGCAAAATACCGAATTCTTTGTAATATTAGAAATACGATTATAATACTGTAAATATATTATTTAAGAACTATTTACAAATCATATATATCAAAGGTACATCTTTCAGCACTTATTTCAATTTTATAGTGATTCATTAATAATGTGCTGTTTCTCTAAGATTATAACTTGTAACAGATCTTTCTTCACCTGACTATTGAAATAGAAATAAAGTCTTGTTTTAATCTAGAAAGGATTTTGTACTTAATCAAATTGGTTTTGCTATGACGCTAAATGCTTAACGCATTGGTGAATACTTTACAGTCCGTAAATATGAAAATTTGCTATATATTAATTTCTATAAAACACAAATTATAATTGAATGCTGATAAAATTATTACAGTATATTAAACTTAATACAACGAAAATATAACATTCCAAGAGATGTATAAAACGTTTGGTTTTGCAGAGAAGTGTAAAACAAATTAAAATACGTTAATGTTTTATTTTAAATCGTACATTGATACAATAACGTGAAATTGTGCTCAATTATATTAATATTGTATAGCCATAGAGACATTACACAAAAGAAAATGACAGATTTTATTCCTTATACAGAAGTGATATCTTTATTTATCATCTGCAAATATGTGTTAATTTACAACTTTAGTTTAGTTCTCCTCCAGTGACGCCTCTTCGCATTATACCTAAAAACATACATAAAAAATTACAGCTTTAATGTATAGACCTTTCGTATTTATATAATAGTTATCGATTTCTAGTAGATAATCTGTTATTTCTTGTTCTATATTTTATCATATGTTTGAGCTCTAATACAGCTAAAATATTGCAATGCTGCTGTAATATTAGAATATTCTAAGCTTCATGACTATGTCAAAAGTAAATATCAAGAATTGAAATATTTCTATTTTTTAATATGTTATAAAATAATTATTTTTAATAATCTCATGTGTTACATCTATAGTAAAAAAATCACAACGATGATTTAAATTCTCAAAACAATCTATCAAATTCGAGATCTTTAAACAAAAGAAAACATTTAATTCTTATTAAATCTTATTCAGATTGATGTTTTAATCTTTTTTCGCAATTTAAAACTATAATTCTATTTTTGTTTTTTTGATACAAATACTATATAGCAATGTTATAGTAACGTTTGCGCAATTATATGCAAGAAAACGAGCGACGTTTATAATCAATGCAAGGAATTGAAGTGAGTATCCGTGTGCATCTTAAATATTAAGTAAGCATTCTTTTATGTCATACAAATATAAAATATATTCACTAATCAGACTTTCAGACTTGAACTTACCGGATAGTATTACCGGTCCGCATTCTCACCCATTGGGGAATCGGTCTGTTTTGCTTCAATTTTTTCGCAAGCTTTCGCTTGATAATAAACGTCTTGTGAGCCGACTGAAACAAATACGAAATAAATTTAGAGCTTACAGATATGATTTTTAAATGTTTTTACATGAAAGAAGATAGGATTGCGAGAAAGTAAATGGATATATTGAGAATATGCGTAAAACTCACCATCGTGCCTACTCACACTTCTGTGGAAACACGTCAAGTGAAAGAGAAAAGCGGTTAAAAATGAACATGAACGTACACGCGGTTAAAATATTTTCTAGAAGGGCGTTCGATACATAGTTATGGATCCTCTTCTGAATGGATCCACCAATCACAGCTGAGAATTCTGGTAAAGGCGAGACCAGGCGAGACTATTGGCTGCGTTCAGCGGATTCAACAGTTGAGTGAGTGCTCATCAATGGGCGCATTCAGCGGACTCAACAGTTGAGTGAGCGCTTACTGTTATTGATGCATTCTTCTAAATCTAAACTTTTGATTGGATGAGCTAAAAGAATACACCAATAACAGCGAGCGCTTACTCAACTATTTAGTCCGCTGAATGCGTCCAATGGGTGCATTCAGTACTACGGCCGGTATTCATAGTCGATTCTTATTTCAAGACCGTCTTAAGTAATGTCTTAAGACGCTAATGCAGCCCTCTGATTGGTTCGTGACTTCTTAAGACCGTACTTAAGACGGTCTTGAATATAAGATCTGATTATGAATCCCGGCCTACGACCACTCATTGGGTGCATTCAGTACTACACCCGCTCACTGAGCGCTCAGTGAGCTCTTGCATTTGATTGGCATATTCCATTAGATCTAAAAATATACACCAATTAGATATAAGAGCTCACTGAGCGCTCAGTGAGCGGTTGTAGTACTGAATGCACCCATTAGGTGCATCCAGAAGCACGACCGCTCATTGAGCTCTCATTGAGCTCTTGTATCTGTTTGGTCTATATTTTTCGATCTAATGGAATATGCCAATCAGATGAAAGAGCTCACCGAGCGCTCAGTGAGCGGTCGTGCTTCTGGATGCACCCATTGACTGCGTTCAACGGACTCAACAGTTGAATGAGCGCTCGCTGTTATTGGTGTATACTTTTAGATATCATACAATCAGCATTTTAGATCAAGAAGAATATATCAACAACAACGAGTGCTTACTCAATTGTTGAGTCCGCTGAATGCGCCCAATGTACCCAATAGAAGTCGTAAGGTTTGTTCGCGTCGCATCCAACTAGAGTCCTAGATTTATCAAAGAGGCGCAACCTGCTTAAGTCAGTATGACAAAGGTGCTAAGGAGAGTACTAAACATGGCCGACATGCTGTGAAACTGTCTTTAAACTATGTCAAACAAGGGCCGCGGTCCGATACACGCTCACAACGCTTAAAAATCATTTCATCCTTGTTGTTTGTCAAATGTTAAACGAAGACAAATAATGCTCATGAGCGTTGTCAGCATGATTCGGACCACGGCCAAGATAAGACGTGTATGATAATGTGAGATAGAATGTATAGGATAAAATGAAATAGAAATATGTCACTAGTACTATAAATGGCTGCCAAGTCACGCAATTGGTCAGATTGCAACAACGAATCAGAATGCATAACACCGGTTGCGCCTCTCTGATAAATCTAGGACTCTAAGGTCCGTTTCCACCAATGCAGATCAACTTTAATCTCGGTTCAACTTACTCTTTGCCTTTTTCTAGTTCTAAAGATTAGAAAAAGACGAAGAGTAAGTTGAACCGAGATTAAAGTTAATCTATATTGGTGGAAATGGGCATAAAGGTGCAGACACATGGAGCCATCAAGCTTCAAGCAGCGGAAGCAGCAACCAATCAGCGAGACGATAAGTGCAGTGGCGTAAAAAATATTTTTTACACCACTGCCAGTCCAGCTGATTGGTTGCTGCTTCTGCTGCTTGACGCTTGACGGCTCCATGTGTCTGCACTTTGACTCCAACATGCTTCAACATGTTCCTACCATAGCTCCTACTCACACTAAACACGTTTGAGTGAGTAGGAGCTACAGTTGGAGGAAGTAGGAGTATGTTGGAGCATGTGACGCGAACAAACCTGTAGACGATTGTAGAGTCTTAAGTCGTAGGAAATTGATCAATTCTAATCGAATATTCTCCTTATACTTGATTGCGATTGGTTGGTTTCCTACGACTTAAGGCTCCACCGTCTACGATTTCTATGTAGAGAACCCTTAATTTGTGAACACAACGAACTATAGATGGCACCAAAATCATTTAAAATGTCGTTCCAAGGATAAAGCAGAATTATTCGTTGAATTATTTTTTTATTCTTTAAAAATTTGCTCTAAGGAATTATACAATTTCTTTCGAATAATTTTTCTTTTTTCTTTTGGATTTTTGTGTATTTTTATTGTTAGCCTATTTTTTTTAGTTGAACTTCTTGCACGGTTCATCTTTTCTCTCCAGCGTGAAGAGAAAAGGAAGAAAGATAAACCGTGCAAAAACTTTAGCTGAAAAAAAAAAAAACAGACCCTGTGTTAATTTTAATGTTTATTCTCTTTAAGCCTTGTGTCCACGATGCTAGAAATCGGTCCGAGATCTCGGACAGAGAAAAAATTAACAAATCACATTTGAACAATTTGATCACATGACCAT